TATATATTTAATTGTTTTTCTTTTTTTATATTTTTTTTTAACAAGAAATTGTTTCTCAAAATATTTTTACACGAATAAGAATTTTGTGAAACGCAAAAAATATTTGAAGACCACTGATTACAGATAAAATATAAATAACATCAAATAATATACACTGTATATGCAACGAATATATGTATATACATTAATATGTATTAGTAGGATTCTTTCGAGGTTTTCGTTATCCGTGTTTTTCAAGGCACGTCACGATGCTTCCGTGAATACACCAATGAAAGTGGGACGATGGAACTCGACGGATACGTGCCTTTTTTTTTTATGGAAGCGTGTTACATCTTCATAGTTAATCCTTCCTCTTTTTATTTTTCGTCTTCATATCAGAAGAATCACTGTTCTCGATTCTTATGTTTGTACTTACACGCATACGCTTTCGATCTTTGCATAATAAAATACTTATCTAATCTCATTAACAGGCAATGTTTTCTTTTCAATCTAACGTTATTAGGAATTCATTAAAATTCAATTAAATACGTATTACTTTTCTTCCTCTCTGGGCTTTTTACGATCTGGTTTCAATCTTCTACAATTTATTTACTTCTTAATCCTCACAAAACACGGATATAGATATTTAAAAAAAAAAGAAAAAGAAAAGAAAACAATTAAATAGAATGCATCGTGCGCATGCGAGTATTTTATTTTTTTTTTAATTATTTCTAAGAATAAACCATAGATAATCTTGATTTTTTTTTCATTAGAATTATACCGGTAATTAATATATTATATTCGTGCTAAATGTTTTGCGCATATATCTAAATATGCGTGCATAGGATAATATTTAATTAAATATTTAATTTTATTTCAATTATTTTTAAATTTTCATTTTTCTTCATTTCTATTTCTTATTTTATAATTTTATAAATAATATATATACTATAATACAAATTTGAATGCTTATAAATAATTTGCATACTTGAATAATTATTTTATATACATAATATATAAATGTTGATATTGACTGACAATACATTTTGTTAAATTTCGGTCTTTGTTTTTTAAATATTATTTATTTTCATTAGAGTGAATTTTAAACACACAAATCATGCATCTCTCCTCATCTCCCTTTCCCGCACCGACACTTGTCTACTATAATAAAAATGTCAACGATAACTTGCAAATAAATTCTTGTCCATATTTATTTTTGTATTTTATTTACCCACAAATTATACGCGTAAAAATAGAAGCGCACGTACATAATAGTATTATACCCATAAATATAAAAACGGTAATAATTCTTTTTCATTCAAATTGTTTG